CCTTCTAGAAATTTCGGGACCGATATGTACTCGAACATTCTAGATGTCGCTACAGTAGAAGGTTCTGGAAACTATCTGAGGCCCTATATAAGGCCGGTATAGACCACGACCGAGTCAGTAATGAATTGGCGATATAAGCGAATAATTCGAAGTGATATAACTGCAAACTAATCTGTAGTAAAATTGTGTTTTGTAATTAGTGTTGTCTTAAGTTGTAATTAGTGTTCTTTGATTAAAGTGTCAATTTTGGTAATTCGCTCGGCAGTTTTAATTGTCTCGAACCCCAAGCTCGTAACAGTATGATTATTTTACCAATATTGAACTCTACGTACCTTTACATTTTTAGTTCCCATGACACAAAATGCCGCCATCTAGTATCGAATATATTTAATTATATTTGAAAGCCGACGGAAAGAGATTTTCTAGAACTATTTTAATAAATTAGGTATAAAATTACTTATAAATGAAAAGTGATGCTATCCATAGCATCAGAGCGTCTATCTGAGTAGCTTTTACACTATAAAACACAATCCTTCATCCTTTTCTTCTTAATACTACGAAAATACATTGATTTGCGATTTTCGACACTAAGGTCAGTACCGTCAGGACCAAGTTACAATCACAATGCACAATTGCTTAGGCCATCTCCTCTTTGTATTTGCTCCGTGGTCCTGAGCCATCTGTATCCACCAACTTCCTGCATATCTTACTAGGTCGTCACTCCATCTAGTGAGAGGCCGCCCCACACTTCGCCTACCAGTACCAATCCCTCCGGGTTTCCTGCTGGTTCTTCCTAAGACAGAGGTATTTTACGAACTAGTGGTAAATTAAACATAAGAATGACTTTCAATAAGTGTTATTTGTAATTTAACGGTGGTAGATCCATGCGGCAGTTTTTACTGTTGCACGTATGAGCCGGCTCGAGCCGGGTTGGTACCACGACCTCACAGAATACAGGCGTGATGTAGAAGCTCTGCTTCTGCGTTTCGTCTGGTAAGTACAGGTGGCCAGAGGCCCAATTCTCCCCTCCCCCCACTGCATCAACATGGTAGCGGAATTACATCAAAGACTACCCCAGGAGGGTACCAGCATGGGGAATCCCTCGCTGAGCATCCACGACCATGTTATTCCACTCCTGAACGTGGGTGCTCAGGCTGCCCCGCGTATTCTGTGGGGGGGAGGGCAAAATTCCACTCAAAACAATAACTGAGTAACAATACCAAGGCAACCCCTGCCACGCTATCCGTGAATTTCTGCAACATCAGGGTCTTCACTCGAACCTAAACGCCGTCCACTACCATCTCGAAACGGCGAAGTTGGCCTTGCTCTTTCTGACCGAGACACAGGTGTCCTCTCCGGCTGATACTTCGTATTCGATTCCTTGCTACAGGTCCCATCTACTAACAGGTCCCATCCGCAAAGATCGTGATCCTTAGCGATTTTAACGCCCACCACGCAGAATGGCTCGGTTCATGTTTAACCAATCATGCAGGGAGATCTGTTTATGACTTTGCCTTGGCATATGGTCTGACATAACTGGTTACTTCGCCTACACGGATTTCAGAAGTGGCGGATCATACACCTTCCCTGTTGGACCTTCTGCTGACCTCTCCTCCGTACAGATATCAGGCTTCTGTAGATGCCCAGCTCGGCTCTTCGGACCATTGTCTGATCCGGAGTGTGGTGCCACTCACGCTCCCCTCGCGGTTGCGTTCTGCAGGTTGCCGGCATGTTTGGCATTACAGGTTGGCGGTTTGGGACGGAATGCAGTCTTTCTTTGCATCCTACCCATGGGGGCAGGTTTGCTTCTCGCCGGATGATCCCAGGGCTGATGCTGACTCTGTCACTGATGTGGTGCTATTGGGAATGGAACTATTTATTCCATCATCTGTGGTACCCATCGGAGGCAGATCTCAGCCTTGGTTTGGTCGCTCCTGTAAGACTGCATTACGCAGTAAGCAGGAGTTATCAAGCCTGGGCTGCGGCTTAGGCGACTCGGGATGTAAATACCAGCATGCTTAAAAAGAAGTATAACGTCGCCTCCAGGTCCTTCAAAAGAGTTATTGCCAAGGCAAAGTCAGAGCACATAGGCAGAATTGGCGAGAAACTAGGTTGCCTTCCTTCGGGAGCCCGTGCATTCTGGTCTCTCGTCAAGGCTATCCGAGGAAATTTCTGTAAGCCATCACTATCATCTCTGCACAGGGAGGACGACTCACTGGCCCACGCCGAAAGCCGACCTTTTAAACTCCCTTTTTGCGTACAACTCGACTCATGATGATGGGGGGAACACACCGCCGACCATCCCGCGGTGTTAGTGCTCCATGACGCATGTGCGGTTCTCACAGCACTCGGTTCGCAAAGCACTCCTCTCCCTGGACATCCACAAGTTGAGTGTGCCTGACGGAATCCCCCAATTGTGCTGAGGACGTGTACTCCAGAGTTGGCACCGGTTCTAACGCGTCTTTTCCGGTACACCTACTCGTTAGGCCTACGCCTCATCATCGCCCGAAATCATGGAAGACAGATTTTGTCCACCCCATCCCTAAAAAAGGCGACCGCTCAGACCAGTCCAACTACAGGCCTATCGCCATTACCTCCTTGTTCTCCAAAATAATGGAATACATTATTAACTGCCAGCTCATGCGGTACCTTGAGGATCACCAGCTGATTAATGACCGCCAATACGGTTTTCGTCGGGGTCGATCAGCTGGTGATCTTCTGGTCTACCTGATTCATAGATGGGCGGAGGCAGTAGAGTCCAAGGGGGAGGCGTTGGCCGTTAGTTTGGACATAGCGAAGGCCTTCGGTTTGGCACAAAGCGCTTCTTTCGAAGCTCCCTTCCTGTGGACTTCCCGCGAAATTGTGCAATCGGATCTCCAGCTTCCTTGCAGATCGGAGCATCAAGGTCGTTGTAGACGGTGCATGCTCCGACTACAAGCCTATTAACGCTGGTGTTCCACAAGGCTGTGTGCTATCGCCAACGCTGTTTCTTGTGCATATCAATTATATGTTGCAAACTGGTAACATTCATTGCTACGCGGATGACAGCACTGGTGATGCTTTATACACCGGCCGTTCCAATATTTCTCGGGAAAACGTCGCCGAGTACCGGAACAAACTTGTGTCTGAAGTCGAGTCTTTGCTGAACAAAGTCTCGGATTGGGGGCGACTAAATCTAGTCCAGTTTAATCCTCAGAAGACACAAGTTTGCGCATTTACCGCTAAAAAGAACCCCTTTGTCGTATCTCCTCAGTTTCAAGGCACTCCCCTTGTTGCCTCAGCCAGTATCGGAATCCTCGGCGTAGACATATCGAGTGACGAGTAGTTCCGTGATCACTTGGAAAAGAAGGCCAACTTGGCCTCTAAAAAGCTTGGCGTGCTCAGCAGAGCGGGACAGTATTTCATGCCGGCACACCGCCTGCAACTTTACAAGGCGGAGGTTCGGCCTCACATGGAATATTGTTCCCATCTCTGGGCAGGGGCTCACCAGTGCCAGCTCCTTCCACTTGACCGCATCCAGCGCAGAGCGACTCAAATCGTCGACGACCGAGTCCTTGCCGATCAGCTCGATTCATTGGCACTGCGAAGACATGTTTCATCCCTTTGCATTTTCTTTCGCATGCAATTGTTCGGATTAATCCAAGCCGCCAAATTTCACGAACGCACATCGCGGCAGAACTCCCAATACCATCCACACCATCTGGATGATTGGCGGTCCACCACTGTGTGATTTAGAAGATGTTTTCTTTCTCACACAACTTCCTTGTGGAATCCATTACCATCAGCGATTTTTCCGGACCGATACGACTTAGGGACCTTCAAGAAAAGAGCCTACTCCTTTTTAAAAGGCCGGCATCGCACCTGCAATTCCCCTGGTTCCCCTGGTGTTGCAGTTGTTCATGGGCGGTGGTAGTCACTTACCATCATGTGAGCCGCATTCTCGTTTGCCCCCTCTCCTATAAAAAAAATCTATATTGAACAAAAAAGCTTCTGTTCTGTTGTCTCCGTTTTGAACATTAGCTTTTATAAATTATCATGTACTGGTTACCTTCTCATATTACTTTATGAAGACTTTTGGAGCTCAGTTGGCAATCTCTTCGTCCGATTACAATCTGGGCGTCATTAAAGCAATAGTGAATAGGCTTTTGTTGCGCTAATACAGTGTGATTTGCCATATTGGACTTCATCACTACTTACCACCATTGTATAGGGTTGTAAGGATCCCTTAATATCCAAAAATCTCTGCCCCCGTAGGAGGTTGCTTTGAAAAATCGCAATACGTATTTTACAGCCTACTTACAATAAGTTTCGAGTCAATTACCCCGTAAAATAAAAACATTCGTATAAACTATATTTCACCCTCTTTGGATTAGAATTTTCTAAAATACTTTGTACGTAATAAAAGGAACCTACAGTCCCAATTTCACATTTCTACATCCAGCAGTTTGGAATGTGCGTCTTAATATAATAATTTCGTACAAACTTTTTCCTCTTGTTTTAAGTCTGAATATTTAATCATTTCAGTTCAAGAGTATTTGAACCAGTTTTCAATTTGATTTTCTCTCCATACAAGTATGAACACCCTCATCTCTCTCCAACATTCTTTATTATTGGATGCCTACATCTTCATTAATCATCATCATACGGAATTATAAGTCGAGCGGTTTGGGCTGTGCGTCAAATAGATGAGTCTCTCACTCAGTACATCTTCTTTTATATTAGATAGATAGATTATTCGATAAAATCTAAATATAATTTTAAGTATCTTTTGAAATATTTTTAAGGACATCATTAAGTGCGATACTGATCTTAAATAGATAAAAGAGTATTTATATGAATAATGATGATGATTACTGTAATCACGACAGTAATATCGTTTTTTGAGACAATAGTAGAAATATAAATAAAATTTACGCTTTAAAATTTTACCCAAATGATCGAGATCGAGCAAGATGTCAATTTTGATATTGGTACATTGTTTCTGTTTTATCGGCGCAACTATGGCTACGGTAAGTTCTTATTTTAATATTAATACTTAATAACACTTTAGGGAGTTTAATGCAGTACTGCATTCGCTAATAAAAAGTAAAAGCAACGCTCTGTGAAGCATCATATCTTCAGAGTATTTTTTATAGGATAAGGGAGACAAACGAGCTCACAGTCCACCTGATGGTAAGTAGTAGCTGTGGCTTAGACATACTCGTAGTCTACATCCATCCTCAACTACGAATCAAAATACAGATGCGTTGTCACCCGTGAGGACTAAGATAGAACGCCTCGTTTCCAGTAAAAGGGGTCTCCGGTTCTCTACACTCACCGTACGTGACACAGTAGCGTTAAGCTGCAATTTTATGCTGATATTCTGTGAGAGATTGGTCCTTCCCTGGTCGAGCCGACGTATTCGTGCTACAACTATACTATTGATATAGCTGCAGCATGACTCTACCACGTAAAAAAGAGTACAACCAAAATTACAGATATATACATAAAGGTCATGAAATAAGAGTGTTTAGAAATATTTTACTTTAATAGAATATGTGCTTACCGTATTGTGGCTGTGTAGTATCCACCACCCCAAATCATCCCGTTGGTGGTGTAAGAGGCGACATAGGGAAACAAATCAGGAGATGAGCAGCGGCGTCTTCCTAATAATGCCTTAAAATAAAAAAATTGCCGTTGCCAACCCACTTGCCAAGCATGGCAACTATGGCAATATACCCCCTATGAGCAATGACAATAATAAACGGCCCCCAGTCCCCGGCGGCCCCGCTCTTCCTGGATACAGTGGCGACCATTGTACCGGTGGGGCAGGGGGTGATAATAATCTCCTGTGGAGGTTCGGTTGCCACCTACGACGACTCGACCTGACAACTTACAACGCACGTACCCTGAGGACTGACAAGAAGATCCTGGAGCTGAAAGAAGAGATAGACAAGTTGCGCTGGAATATGATAGGCTTATCCGAAGTCCGCAGAGAGGGGAGGACACGGTAATCCTCGAATCCGGTAACTTGTTCTATCACCGGGAGGGCGACCATCTGTCCCAAGGAGGTGTCGAATTTATCGTCCACAAGTTTCTCGTTAACAACGTAGTAAAGATTGAGAGTGTGTCGACGAGGGTTGCGTACCTTATACTCAGAATCACCAAACGATATTCGCTGAAGGTAATATAGGTTTACGCAACAACCTCGGCACATTCCGATGAGGAGGTGGAGGAATTGTATGAGGATATCTCTAGAGCCATGCATTCCTCCAAAACCCACTATACGATGTTAATGGGAGACTTTAACGCAAAACTAGGCACAAGAGAGAACGGTGAGCTGAAAGTAGGGAAATTTGGATTAGAGCAACGAAACCCAAGGGGCCCGCAGCTAGCCGACTTCATGAAGAAAGAGGGACTCTTTATGATGAACTCTTTCTTCCAGAAGCGGCCTCACAGGAAGTGGACCTGGTCGAGTCCCGACGGTTCGACAAAACATGAGATTGACTTCATTATGACGACCAGACGACAATTGTTCAGTGATGTCTCAGTGATCGCGAAGGTGAAAACTAGTAGCCATCACCGAATGGTTAGAGGCACACTGAACCTAAACGTTAAGTTGGAGTGATGTCGTCTAATGAAGTCATATTACCGTAGCCATACCCTTCGTGCTCTAATCCAAAGTCCCGAAACCTTTCAGCTCGAGTTACAAAATCGTTTTCAGTCTTAGAAGATTGCAATGCAGTGGACTATATAAATGACAAGCTCGTGGAAACTGTCCATGTGGTCGGAGATATGTTTTGCAAAACCCGCCGCAGAAGAACACAAAACTCTCCTATCACACTCTTAATCTCATGGCCGATAGACGAAGATAGATGAAGATGCAGTCTTCACTAGATTTGATAGCATACAGGCAACTGAACAGACAGATCTCCAAATGCATGCGGCGGGACTTACGCAACTTTAATACTGCTTGTATTGAAGAAGCGATCGAGTCTTTGCCAGAGATCTGTCTGCCAGAAAGTGCCAACTGTCGAAGCTGAAGACCGAATGTGGCAGCATCGTTTCCGAGACACCTGGGATTTTGATTAAGAATGAGAGGTTCTATGGGCAGCTGTACCCATCATCGTTGAGCCTCGTACCGGCAAGGCCCCGTAAGTGTAGGGCGTCCCCCCACTAAATGGAGCGACGACCTGGTAAGACATGCAGGAAGTCAATGGATGCAGGTAGCTCGGGACCGTGCATTGTGGCATTCCTTGGGGGAGGCCTATGTTCAGCAGTGGACTTTCGAAGGGCTGTAATAATGATGATGATGATGATTACCCAATTTAAATGTGCAATTTTATAAATAAGATAAACGCGTTAGACAGTTTCGAACGGAAGCGATTAGTTTCGCTACATAATCACAACCCACTGTTCAAAATTGAACTGGAATTTGAAATTGAACTCAAAAAATTTAATTCGAATTGAAAATACTTATTAGTATTGAAAATTTAGAATTAAAATAAAATTGAAAATAGTTATTAGTATTTTCAATTCAATTGCATAAAGCAAAATGTTAGGCGTAATCCCTGATTTTGTGATTCTCCGATAGTTTTCATAACCAATTATGCGTTTTTCATGCGCTGTCAACTTACTTAAAATTAATAGATGTTATTGAGCCATTCAGCAACATTTACTCAAGCATATTAAAACCCGTGGTAAAGAGTTTGACTTAATAAGGATTAAATTTTAATTTAACACAACCATCACAAATTACTGGTTTTCTACTAATACAGTGCTAGCTCGATTAATTGTTAACATTGGATGTTTCTGCTTTTACAAAACCGCTTTCTTTGACAATAGATTAGCACTCGATTGCTATAAATTGTTTAGTGAGACTACCGAAATTATAAAGCTACTTTTATAGATATAAATATGTGATCCAATCAATATAACTTCTAACTGACCTACTTAATGTTCACATAATAAGATTGGCTCGAATTAGTTCCCAATTAGTTATTAGTACGAGTATAAACAACATGTCCATGACATTGACGATATTTGTTATTTTTGATGCTTTAATGACAATGCACTATTATTTACGTACTCAAAGCATTTTTTTTAATACAGGCCCAAACAGATTCGGAGCTGAAAAAATATTTTCTACAAAAATCCATTGAATGTAGCAACGAGAATCCTGTAAATGTTGACGAAATTGATATGCTAAAAAAACACACTGTACCAAAAAGCAAGAACGCTAAATGCCTTTTAGCGTGCATTTTCAGAAAAACAACTTGGGTAATATGAATACTATCTATATATTAAATCTGCTGCCTAGCCATCCACCAGGATTTTGCAAGCTTAGCTAAGGAAAGCGAAGCCAACCTGTGAAACTGCACCTTTTTTGCGCGAGGTTTGCCGATTATCACCGGCGGCCGCGTGCTTGTCGGCTCTGTGGCGTTAGCCGACTTTCTCTACTATCGTTAACGCTAATACAAAACCTTTAAAAATGAATGGGAATGAAATATTTCAACATATTATAATGTAACGTGACAATGTTGAAATATGTCTTCCCTTCAATTTAAAAACTCTTTTATATTTTAGTGCTTTTCGTATTTTTCCTCTTTCCTCTTAAGTTAATAGATCTTTCCGTACCCGACACTATGTAACATAATAGGATAAGATTGACGAAATGGAAGATAACTCAGGAATGTTCCTAGATCAAGCTCTGTATTCAGAAGGGAAAGAAGAAGATATATATTTATTTTTCTATTTTAAATAACGTAACCTCCACAGTAAAATTTTCCCCTGTATCGTAGAAGCGAACAATTATTTCAAATTTGCAACCCCGTTGCACCACGACAGCCGTCTTGTTTGGCCCATAGACAACTACATTTATCTTTAATTAAGAATCAATGCAGATGCGTTGACACCCCTGAGTTCTGAGATGGAATGGCTCGTTTCCAGTAAAAAGGGTATTCGGTTCTCTACACTCACCATAGGAAATACAGCAGCATCAAGTTGCTATTTTACGCTGGTATTCTGTGAGAGTGGTCGAGCCGACCCTCTCATGCTACAACTATAATATAGCTGCAGCGTGGCTCTACTACGTAGAAAATAGTCTAATAGTTGTTGTCTAATTGTTACAGAATTATTCATTCGCAGCCTATAAAAAAGTGAGAGCGATTTTTAATTTTACTTTTACGCAAACACAAATCAAAGTTCAATCATTATTTTTGAATATTACTAACTTTTTTGGTATATAATTTTTAGATGGACGAAAAAGGAATGTTCGTGATGGAAAATGCGATTAAAGTAACAAAAGAAAAACACCCCAAAGACTGGACAGAAATGGAAAATTCCAAGAAATTGTTCGAACTGTGCAAAAAAGGTTCATTGAGATCTTCATATTATTAAGTACTATCGTTTTTCAATACACTCATTCAATTGTTAACAAAATTTAATCACGAATATAAAATTCACAGTTAACGAAGAGACTTTTAGTGATGGAGAAAAGGGCTGCGAAAGAGCTGCAAAGTTAACTACGTGCTTAACAGAGAACGCGACCAAGGTAATATTTATAATTATAAGAAACAATTGCCGTATGATGTCAGCCAGCTGCCAGCAGAAGGAATAAAATGGTGTGAGATACCACTTTTTTCCAAATCTGCTACCGTTTCTTAATTAGGTTCCCCTGACTGGGGTTGAAACGGCGAAAGAAACTCCGCAATCCGCTAGGAGAACTTATAAGCCCATTTGGTTTAATGTGTTTCATAAAAGGCGACTGTGAGAAAGGCCAGAAAGGCCTCCGGTAGATGGTAGCCGCATCTCGTATATGACAAATATAAATACCTAAACCGGTGACGTGAACCACTGCGTACTGTTGTAGGTACTGCGATTGGCGATCCGATTGTCAAGTGTGGCGGCTTAAGCAAATGCTTTCTACCAGTAACAGAGGCCCATGTCGAGGTGAATGCTATCCAATTTCAATGTAATATCTTTAAAGTCCAGTGCTGAATATAGGGCACGCTCCAAAGATCTAATTACCACTGGTTGCCACGCTTGGCAGACGAGTTGGAGGTCGCAGATTTTTATTATTTTAAGTTTTTATCAGAAACATGTTGCGACCTCCTGCTTGTCCCTCTTCAGCCTCTTACGACGCGAGATATTTTGTGGAAGTGGGTTCTCTATCGCCGCCACTACACGGCACGCTGTCACGGACTAATAATGCTACACTCCAGTCTTTCCATCACTCTGTTGCCTGTTCTTCGAGCTATATGGCCGGGCCGGCCCATTGCCACTTCAGCTTACTGCTGTATATGGCTATGTCGGTTACTCTGGTTCCACTGGGGATATCCTTATTACGATGTCTATCACGCTGAAAAACATTGAGTATCTATATCCCTCTCCACAGCTCGCTAAGAGGCTGGCCGACCTTGAGCTTTCTGGTACCGCCAACAGTCAAGGACCACTTCTCAGATCCATGTGTACTCACAAATAACACGCACTACAAAATTGTTCATTACGAGCCTTCACATTTACATTTTACGTTCATCCGGCGTTATATAACTTTAATCAATTTCTTTAATTTACTATCAATCTATCTCGTTAACAGTTATTAAGGCTTACAATCTACAATAGCCCATGAAAACATGCAAACACTTTCCAAACAAAGACTGCAGGTACATTGTCACTCCTAGGACTAAGATGGATTGGCTCACAGCCTGTGATCATAGTGCAATCATAGGTTAGCAGCAGATGCACTGCTGCTTGTCGGAAGAGATAGGTAAGAGTGTAGTATCTATCAATGTGGGCTTGCTCGAGTTATGATATTTACGAGCCTCCAGTCCCTGAACTACCAGGGTCCTTTGATACAGGTATATAATCATAACCGCTATTTTTTACTTTACAGTTCGGTTTCCAGTCGCAGTAAATATCCAGTAAAAATCTCCGCATATTTTATAAGAGGATAATTTGAAATAAATTAATGAGCATTCAATTATTTGTCTTTATTCACCAACTTTAAACACATAATACGAGTATGTACGAGTATGTATGGTTTCACAAATACTAAATTCAAAATATTTTTAGGTTACTTTTTTTTTAATATTGTACATTATTCGTGCGATAATATTTTATTGTAAACTAACAATATCAATATATAATAGAACACAAGGTATTATATAATATAATAAATAATATCTCCCTTAACATATTTTTAACATAAAAGTAAAAAAGTTGATGTGTTTATTTTAGCAAATATACAAACAAATCTATATAACATTACTTACAATCGGAGTGTTTTTAATTTTATTGTGTTCAAGAAGACAAAAATAAACTTTCGTTTTCCAAAAATTATTTTAGATGAATATAAATCATATCAAAAAATAAGATTGATTCAATTATGACTCATAGGTACTTCAATGTAAAAACTAGGCCCCATTTTAAAACTGCTATAAAACTTATCAAAATTGAATAATAAATAAATAGATAAATCCGAATCCATTTCAAATAACTTTAAAAATTATATAAAATTTCAGCATGTTTTTCCGCTTGGCTTGGTTAGCCAACCCACCCGGTTGACATTATTAAGTCATTATCAGTTATTCATCTTCCTGTTCCAAAATTGCTGCGCAAGTTTGCCTCTGTTACCGCTTATGACACCCTTGGGGTACTGTTCACTTAGACACAGAATAAATAATAGTACTACGTACAGAAGTTGCACTCCTTTGATGTTGACTGCTTGCCGACGTTTTAAAAAAGACAAGTAGGGTAGTGAAGAAAATTTCAACTAAGTTTTGTAATAAAATACTTAAGTATTACTTCTGTCTAGAAAAACATTTATTATATAGTCTATAGTGTACAGAAAAACATTTATTTAATAAATAGAATATAAAATAATAAAATAAAAGCAAAATAATAAGTGCGCCTCTGGGTGTACCGACACTATCTTAGTGAATAGACTAGTTGATTCTTTTACGCCGTCAATACTTTGCCTGGCAAGGGAGGCTATCTTGGAAAATATCTCCCTATGAGGAAACAATGGAAAGGCCTTTGTTCAATAGGTAGTGACCTAACAGACTTTTCAGAGTATATAATGATGATGATATTAAAGTTATGTATGATGTGATCTGAGTATAATCTGCCACTTTGCCTTGCGTATGTGGACTTTGAGAAAGCTTTTGATTCGGTGGAACTGTCGGTGTATGGAAGTGCTGAAGTGTTACAGTGAAGTTTTAATAAATAAAACAACCAAATGTAACTAATATTTTTTTAAATCGATACTTACAGTCAATTACCATATTTTTTATTAGAAAAATATTTGCTCCGTTGGCATTGACCGAACTTCTCTCGAGTCGATAATTTCAGGCAGTACACACTTTTCATAAAAAGCTTGTAACTTGGGTAACATATTGAAAATCTAAAATAGGTCGTCTTTGTAAATTTTTAGTACTTTTACTGCATAATCTGGGCCAGTACATATTATGGCAAGTATTCAGACGTTTTTATTTGCTAACTGAAGCTGGCCTTGGATCTGGTCATGATTTTGATTTAATGTTACACTTGAATTACTGAATTTATAAACTTTAACTTTTTTTTGGTCGAAAGACCGTGTCAAAGTCTATTCCGAATGCTGAAATAGGACATTTAACTTCAATAAGACCGTCACTGTATAAACCATTAGGTGAAAAGCCCTCAAATAACAATGATCTAGGTCAATGAATAGACCACATTTTTCTATAATAATATTTTCTTCTTTGCTCAATTGTGCCAATGCTACAGACTCGTTGTCCCTACCATGTTTAATGGAAAAGATGTGATCTAAATTATACTATATAAAATAGTTTTAAACCGATCGATCAAAAACTGCGGTCGTAGTTGACGCTCGTAGTATTTGCGAAACGCCGAAATGAGCCTAAATAAGAGGGCTCTTAACGTTGTATTTTTTCTGCCACATTAATATTCATATAAATAGCTTCCACCACGTCAATTGTATACAATACCTGCAACTATAGTGTCGCAAAAAATAATAAATACCCAGTATTTAAGAACTTAGATGATGATAAGCCGTATATGATTTATTACATACTCGTACATACATAGATATTGTAAATTGTAAGGAATAAACTGAAAATTTGAAAATCCTTATATTCAGTCGCAGAATGGCCATGTACTGGTTCATCATCATTACGGCTCTTCAAAAGTCCATTACTGAACACAGGCCTCTTCCAAAGAATGCCACAAAGAACGGTCCTGAGCACGGAGCAAATACAAAGAGGTGTTGTAATTAGATTTCGCTATATAACAACGCGTGACAATTTGCGGGGTGAGGGGGTGTTAAACCCCGCCCAATTAACCATTTTCCATCTACCGATAAATAGTAAAACTACTACTACTTTACTATTAATCGTTCCATATCGATGTTGCAATGTAGTTTAGCTACCTTGACGATAGATGGCGGCCTGTTCACAAAATGATTATAAAACAATAAAAATAATATAATAGCGATTAAAATTCTTTTGAACTAAATGCAGAACATATTTTAACACCTTCGTATGATTATTTTACCAATATTGCACTCTACGTACCTTTATATTTTTAGTTCCCATGACACAAAATGTCGCCATCTAGTATCGAATATATTTAATTATATTTGAAAGCCTACGCAAAGAGATTTTCTTGAACTAGTTTAATAAATTAGGTATAAAATTACTTAGAAATTAAATGTGGTGCCATCCATAGAATCAGAGCGTCTATCTGAGTAGCTTTTACACTATAAAACACAACACTTGACCTTTTTCTTCTTAATACTACGAAAACGCATCGATTTGCGTGTTTCAACACAATAGGTGTTCCTCAGGGTTCTCATCTTGGTCCACTACTGTTTATAATATTTATAAACGATGTTATATCCTGCTTCCGTAATTCCAAAATTCTCCTTTTTGCAGATGATATGAAAATTTTCAGGTCTATTAAAACTATAGAGGACTGCCATCAACTTCAAGAAGATCTATGTAGGCTTAGTGCATATTGTCAAGTAAATGATCTTTGCTTGAACATTAAGAAATGTAACATTATCTCATTTACCAGGAAAAAGAATCCTATCCTCTTTGATTATAAGCTTGATGATAATTTACTAATGAGAGTTAATGAACTGCGTGATCTTGGTGTTCAGTTGGATAGTAAGTTGTTACTGAGATCACATATTAATATCATAACTAAAAGAGCTTATAAAATGCTAGGTTTCGTTATGCGTATCTCAAAAATGCCGTGTAGTGGCGGTTAAGAATATCCACTACCCCATATCTTCCCGTGGGTGTCGTAAAAGGCGACAAAGGGAAACAGGCAGGAGATGGGCAGCAGCATCTTCCTGATAATAGCCAAAATAACAATAAAAAAAACTGCGGTTGCCAACC